CGTATGGCATCAATATTTATTTACCCACAATATCAAGCTTCTTATAGAAAGTAAACAACTTCTGTTATAACTTATTCAACATTGTCAATCATATATATATATATATATATATAATTCACAAACATTTTATTTTCGCCCAAGAGCTAACAAAAGAGCAAACAAATTTGGTCCTTAAATTATTAGCCAAATATTATTTATTATAACAATGTTTATAAATAAATTTAAAAGAAAATAAATATACAGTACAAACTAATTGGAAATAAAATAATAATAATATAATCTATGAATGTCATATTCTTCAAGCAAAACACGATAGAACTCAACTTATTTTAAAGGTTGTTCAACACTAGCCATTAATAGATCACCTGGACACCATTATTCCAGCAGCTGGTGTATTCACAAACCTCCTTCAAATGCAAAGTTGTTAAAAGAAATGAGTCAGCTCAGATTAGTAAGCACTTTAGCAAAAAAAAAAAAAACAAAAACAAAAGGTCCTTTTCCCCACAATTTTAAGCTAATTTTAACGGAAAATGAGGAATGTTTTCCTTTCTATCTTACTTTTATATTTTAGTTTTCTTGCTTTTTTTTCCTTCTGATTTCTTAACTAGATATTTACTTCCTATTGCTTTTTTTCTTTTGTATTTCTTTAAATTGTGTCCATTTCTTTTTCTTTTTTACCAACTTTTTTATTGTCTTTTTTCTTTTGTCATTTTCACTTTTTGTTCTTTCCTTTTTTTTTTTCCTTTACTTTCTTTCTTTTGCTTTTTCTTTAACTTTGTTTCTTTTGTGCTTTTGCTTCTGTTTTTAATTGACAAGTATTGCCCCCCCTCTCTGAACATAAAAGTCCAGAAGCCAAGAAATTATTAGGTCAAGCACAAAACACATTTATCTTTAAGCAGCACACATTTAATTGATCACTTTACTTCTGTTGTCCTCCTTTAAATTTGTTAATTTATTTTTCTTTTAATGATTAACACGATAACAAACCAGTCACCTTGATGAATTCATCCTTCCACCAACCCCTCAAGTTGATTAGGTTTGTCAACAGTGTTAATCACCTAGTTAATTTGTAACCCTAAAATCTATATATAAAAGCTCATGTTTCATTTTATTGGAGTAGGAAATTTATTTGTAGTGTTATTCACTCATTGTCTCACCCCATAGGTTTGGGATTGTATACTGCGAAAAGGTCTCTACATACCATTTATGTTTGCCAATACATATATATATATATATATATATAATAGTTTTTAATCACTATTTACAAATAACTGTTACATAGCTTGTTCTAGTTTTGAGTTCCATGAACCTTGCCTATATAACGGTTTTTTGACAATAACCATTATATACTTACCAAATATATAATGGTTATTTTACAAAAATCACTTTATAGTTAGCTAATTTTTTTTTTAATAGTTAGCTCCAACAGTTAGTTGACTGAGAAATGTGATGTGTTTAGCTTTGGTGTTTTGGTTGATGAGGTTCTCATGGGGAAGCATCCAGGTGATCTGATTTCTGATATACAAACATTTGGAGTTCAAAACGTCAATTTAAAGGAGATCCTAGACCCACCACTATCACCACCTTCAGGGAACCAAATTTTGAAAGAATTGGATCTGATTAACAATCTAGCCCTTTCAGGCTTACAAATTAACCCTCAATCGAGGCCAACCGTGCAAAGCATAGCTCAGATGCTAAAGCCATGAACAAGAGATTGCTCATAATTGAGTTGAGAATGAATGTGCTGTTTGTTCACACTATGAATTTGCCGTGAACAATTTGCATAGCGAACAAGTCATGTCCATATGAAGATGGATTTATGCAAGCCACTCTTCTTGATTGGAATGTATTTTGTTGTGTGTTAAAATAATACTCACTCAATTTCAAATTATAAGACATTTTTAGATAAAATCTCATATACTAATGAATCTCATTAAATATAGTTAACAATCTTATTTTTTCAAAACAAAAATATAAACTTTTAAAAATACCCTTCATTTAATAACCATAAATTTACACTTAATTATTAAATAGAGAGAGAGAGAAAGAGTCATATTGAAATAGGCTTATTTAATAAAATTTTGATTTTCTCAAAGTATCTTATATTTTAAGACGTTAAATCTCCCCTAAAACATCTTATAATTTGGAATAGAGAAAGTAATAAATTTTGTTTTTCTCTTAGTTAAAGTCTTATTAATAGTGACTCATACTCTGATAAGCATGTTATATATAAGAGTTAATCACTATCTGCTGCTAAAATTTTTTTTAAGGGGGGCAAAATGATTTACTTTGAATGATGATCAATTTTATTGATTTCTGTTAAACTTCTGTCACTCGCAGAAGCAATAAACTGTTTGTATAGGTGATGTTTTGTTGCTCAAAAAAACTCCATTTATATCTTTTAACTATTAAATATAATAAAAGAAAAATCTCATTCGAGGAGCTGTGAAGAATATTATTCACAGAGGAGGCTAATAAGAAATTGATTGTTTTTTTTTATTAAATGAGAACATGAACTTGTTTTTTATGAAATGATTATATGTCATTTATCCTTGCTTGTGAATAACTTTTTTTCTAGGTCTTTGAATGCGATTTTCACTATATAAAAAGTGATAATAACAATGTTTATAAATAATTTAAAAGATAATAAATATACAGTACAAACTAATTGGAAATAAAATAATAATAATATTTTCCATGAATGTCATATTCTTCAAGCAAAACACGATAGAACTCAACTTATTTTAAAAGTTGTTCAACACTAGCCATTAATAGATCACATGGCCACCGTTATTCCAGCAGCTGGTTTATTCACAAACCTCCTTCAAATGCAAGGTTGTTAAGAGAAATGAGTCAGCTCAGATTAGTTAGCACTTCAGGGGGAAAAAAAAGGTCCTCCCCCCCCCCCCCAACAAAAATTTTAGGCTAATTATAATGGAAAATGAGGAACGTTCTTTTCTATGTTATTTTTTTGTATTTTAGTTTTCTTGCTTTTTTCCTTCGGATTTATTAACTAAATATTTACTTCCTATTGCTTTATTTCTTTTGTCAATCAAGTTCATTTATTTTTCTTTTAATAAATATTTTTTATTTACAGCATCCTTTGAATTCAAGGAAAAGTCGTGTTTTTAAGCTTTATTCATGAAAAGAAATATTATTTCAAAATTAATTTTTTTATACCAACTTTGTTATTCTCTTTTTTCTTTTGTCAAAGTGGTGTTATTAAGCTATACTTTAAGAAAAAGAAAGTATTCTTTTTAAATTAATTAGTTGTTTTCTTACCAACTTTATTATTCTTGTTTTTTCCATTTTTGTCATTTTCACTTTATCTTCTTAATTTCCTTTTTTTTTCCTCTTTACTTTCTTTCTTTTACTTTTCCTTTAATTCCATTCCTTTTGTCTTTTTTGGCCCTATTTTTAATTGACAATTATTAGCCTCCTTTTGTCTTTTGCCTTCCTTTAAATTATGTTAATTTACTTTCCTTGTAATGATTAATCATGCACCTTGACTAATTCATCCTTCCATCTACCCCTCAAATTGATTAGGTTGTCAATGGTATTAATCACCTAGCCTCTTGGTAACTCTAAAATCTATATAAAAAAGCCATGTATGGTATGAGACTTTATTTGGAGTATTAGTACTCTCTCATTGTCTCACCTCATGGGTTTGGGATTGCACTATTGCAAAATTTTTCTATATAGCAATTATTTTTATCAATATATATGACCATTTTTAACCGTTATATTCTCATGCTATATATTTCAGAATATAAGTTATATTGTTTGTTCTAGTTTGACATACTCTCTCTAAATATATCTCTCCATACCCATCTAACCATTTATTTAATTATTTTTGGTTTAATGGTCTGAAATTGCTAATTATAGAATTAAAATAAATATACTATTCATTTAATGGTTATTATTAATAAGCATTGTGATCTTATTTTCAAAAGTATTTAAGTGATCATAGTGAATAACATACTTATTTTAATGTTATAATTAGTAATCTCACACCATGAAATCAAAATATAATAATTAAATGAATGGTTACGATTAGGTATGAACAGATGTATTGAGAGAAAGAGTATGGAGAGAATCCACATCCTTAGTTAGCTCCAGTTTTAATTGGCTTTTTACAGGTTGCTTAGTAAACTATATAGCAATTGTTTTAAAATAATCACTATATAGTTTTATTTATATAACGGTTATATTGTATAGAACTAGAACTATATTGTGGTTAATTTGAAATAGCTCCCCAAATTTGCTCTCACAAATGGAGAGATTTTGGAGTAAAATTTCGTTCCCCATCTGCTCTCCTCTTTCCCCGTTTTCCATTTTTGGAGTAAAATCATTTTTGAAGCTGGTCTGCCGTGTTGAGTTTTTGTGGATTTGCTAGTTGATTTTTCACTGGTATGCCATTTGTCCCCACCCTTTTCGTTTGCAATTCCATGCTTGTTGCGTCTCTATACTAGATTTTTTTTTTGTTTTTTTATTGATAATACTGGATAATCTAGCGTTTTTTTTATTGATAATATTGGATAGTGTATACTATATATTTTTTATTTTATTATATTTATTTTTTTAAATACCAAATTTTTTTAAATAGAAATAAGTTATTTTCACAAAATTATTGTTTTTAAAATATAATTACATTGAAATACATTTTTAACAATTCTTTTGGTTTTAAATTAATTTTATGATGTGGATTTTAATTTAATTTCTACCTTCAATTTATTTTTATAATGATACTTACATGAAACATGATATATTTTAATATAAGAGTATTATAGTTTTTGTGATATTTGCTTATTTTCTTTTCTCCCAATTTTCTCTTGTCTATCCCAATATAAGAAATTATAACATTTTCTTTTCAATTGTCTCTCTTTTTTTCCCTAATTTTTTCTTCTTTTATTTTCTTTTCTCTCAACCTTTCTTCCCATCCAAATTGAAGGTTACAGAAAAATATTAAAAATAGAAGGAAGGTCCAAAAACCATAAGAATCCACGAAGTGCTTGTAGATAGAATATTATATAATTCAAAAGTTACACTCTGCTCTATGTATCAGATTGACATATTGAGAACAAATGTTGCCATATTCCCATGCAAAGTTAACTACATAATACATATTGTCAATTCGTGTAACAAACCAGAGTCCTGTTTAAATCCCCAGAAAACAACATAAATATGTGCAAAAAAAAAAAAAAAGGAGGGAGGGAGGGAGGGAGGGAGAGAACCAGTTTCATAAAAATGGATGACAAGCAAAAATTTGATGCTCACCTTGCAGTTCAAGCCACATGTGCGGTTTTCTTGGCAATTTGTTTAAGAATATATGAAGAGATTGAAACAGAAGCCTTTCTAAGGTGGAAAGATTGTCCCACCCCAAAAATCAAGTGTGACCGACATGGGATATAGGCATAAACCTCACATCCCTTAAGCCGTGATCAGAGAAACTCTGAAATTTATATGTTAAACACACTAATAAAGTAATTAAAAAATGTTATAATATTAAATCAGATATTCAATTTTAAAAGAAATGTGAGGATCTTACTTGTAGTTTACATGGAGCACCTAAGGCCAGACGCCACGTAGGTATAAAGTTCAAAATTTTCATCAAATTAAAATTTGACTAAAATAATTCTTCTGCTTCAATTCAGCAATAAAACTCCTCAGTGGATACCTTGAGTTACGAGTTCAACTATACCATCTGAGACCAAAATATCTTTTCCAGTGAATAACGTCCCAATAATAAATAATAGGACATAAATAAAATGAAAAGTTTGAAATAGTTATGTAAATTAAATAGACAAAATTTTCATAAAAACTTTATAAACTTCATAATAAAATGGCTCTATAAATTTCAAATAAAATCTCAAATCATTGAACTATCATAGAAAATGTTAATATCACTTGATTTCAAGAAAGCACATAAATGAAATAAATATTTACAAACAAATTACTAAATAAAAAAACTAATAGAATATGAGATCATCAAACGATAGGATTCATAAATATAGGAACTTATCAGAAAATTAACAAATATGGACACATAATTCATAAGGGTAACTAACCCAAACGCGGCTTATGCCACGAAAACAAACGTGGACACTCAGTCCACAAGGGTAAGTAACCAAACGTGGCCGAAGCCACGAAACAAATGTGAGCACACAGTCCACGAGGGTAACACTAATCAAACGCGGCTTGAAACCACGAAATAAACGTAAGTACGATGCTCACGAATAACCATCCCTCCATTCCACGTGCGTTGGCCATCGCACGGGGCTAGCACCTCTTATAAACACCCTGCTAGCTAGGTGTACTATGGCGCGCCAAGGGCTAACAGAACTGCCGTTAGCAACCAGTGTTCTGTTTAAAATCTCTTTTTTTTTTAAACCATTTTCAAACATGCGAGAAAATCATCACTTTCAAGATATAGTTCTCGTTCTCAAAATCAAACTCACATGAATACTTTTAAGCATTAAAACTTGTCAGAATAAAATTTCATATCCAATGCTCATACTTGCATTTATCGAATACTCAAAAATTTTCAAAGTCAAACTCACAAAAATCATTCTCTGTATCAATCCAATATTTGATAAAATAAAAATCTCATAATCAAAGTTCAAACTTAATTTAATTGATAAAATAACATTTCAAATTTGGTAAAACTAATTTATCAAAATAAAGTAATATTAATCAACAAATATTCAATAATTGCATTAATGCTATTAAAATGATTTTAAAAAAACATAATATTACAGTAAAAGAAATTTTGACTAAAAAAAATCAGTTGGGACGCTATCTACTTACCTAAGAGTTCTCAATAATTTTATAATTAAACTCCCTCAATTTCCCGCTTTCTCCAGTGATACTCTAAATTAATCTAGCATTAAACCAACAACATTCAACCCCAATCATTAACACTCTTCTTATTCCATGTTTAATAAAAACCTCAGTCATCACATAACGTAACAATTTACCTTTTTTGGTGCTATACAAATCCAACGAGTAAATCAACTTTACAACTTGTATGTAAAGACATATATTTCATCAACAAACTATTCAATTTCAAGGATTTAAATAATCACATTACTATTATTATTATTACTATTATTATTATTATTTCTTATGAACTTTGCAACATTCAGTAGCAAACATTTCAACAAACATCTTATAAGCATCAATATTTAAGTTTTATATTTGAGCTATTCTTTTCCAACTTCATCCTCACAAATTCTTCAACATCACCCAATCTAAACAATTAGTTTAACTTAAAAATTATGACCCATGAATATATCATTCTCAATCTTTAAAATAAATTGGTAGCTCAATATTTGAATTGTCTCTCCCCAATAACAGCACGGCAATAACAGAAAACATGCTAAAATTTGGTAATTTCACGGACACACAGAGCAAACCACACTCTAACGCATAGCAACAGCAGTCCACACTCACAAGTGCAGAGAATTATTTCCAATTCAATTTAAATTTCTTTCTTCTTTCATCGCACGGACAGCAACATCACCAGAGGGAAAAAACAACTTCCACTAATACTTCACACACTCACGCACACAAGATTATTGGAAGAAGAAGATCTCAATACTTCTCACCTTAATCATAGACAGCACAGCAAGAAGAGAGAAGATTTGCAGGAGCTGTGCAGGGGAGAGGGAGCCCGACAGAACTCGATGGTGGAGGAGGAAAGAGAAGCTGTTGCACGAAGGAGGAGGAGGACAAAGGACGAGCTTCATTCACCAGTACCTAAATGATGCCAACGAGCAAGGGAGAAGAAGGAATCCATGGTGAACAAAGAACAGGGGAACGACAAACTCGTGACTCCGACCTCTATAACGGTGAGCAACAGAATTGTAGACTGAAAAAAATACTTGAGCTTATTATTCACGCACACACGAGCCTCCCACAGCTGAGGAGGAAGAAAAACTGAAGCTAAACACACATGCACATAGAACTGTCGAACCTGAACAAAGAAGCAGCGAAATAGGGATGAACGAAGGATTCTGATCACTCTGCACGCTCAACAGAAGATATGAACCAGCGAAGCAACATGCACGCTACCGGTGAGAAGAAGTATAAGTTCAAAGGGGAGGAGGAAGGTTTCGAAAATGATGAAAGAAACGAAATCTAAGTCGGTGAAGAGAAGATTACAGGATGCTCTGTTTTTGCCTCCACGCAAGACATAAAAACCGAACAAAAGAAGTTTCTGGAAAAATTACATGGAAGGACACGAGAAAATCACAAGAAATAACACAGTAAAATTACAAAAAAGGCACTACATTCTCTTATAATTTTAAAATCAAGCTTTTTCTCAAAAACCTTTGGACCCTAAGTCCTTAAGAAAATTTCTAGTATAAATTCTTATAAATTATCCCTTTCTACTTGCTATTAAACTTTTTTTTAATAAAATATCTACTAGGAGAAAAAAAAATTGTTTAATTTAAAATTTAGGGTCATTACAAAGACAGTCTCACAGGTCAGCCAATCTTAGAGTCATGGGTCTCTCCAGCGCAGAACTCAAGTGCAGCTCAAAGCCCATGTTCATGGCGTGGAACAACATGTGATAATTCTTCAGGAAGTGTGATTGAAATAAACTTGGCTTACACTGGCCTTGAAGGTACCCTTCAAAACTTGAATTTCTCTACATTTCCAAATCTTCTTCGTCTTGATCTTAAAACAAACAACCTGATTGGTAGCATACCAAAAAACATTGGGGTTCTCTGCAAACTGCAATGCCTTGACCTTTCTACGAATTACCTCTATCACGCCCTAAAAATTAGACGTGACTGACACGAGATATATGCATAAACATATATCCCTTAAGCCTTGATTAAGGAAACTTTAATATAATATTTTAATTCATTTAAAATAGGATAGAAAATCATTGTAACAATTTTTTAAAGAAATAAAATATTCTTAAACTTTTTGTAAAAATTTTTAACAGAACCTCCCCGAAAACATAGAACCTCAAAAAAATATTTCATCACAATCTATGACATCAACTCAGCAAAAGAGAACTCCTTTCCTCCATAACAATCAAATAGCACAATATAGAATCAGGACTCTAACTATAATCTATGTGAAGCACCTAAAACATTATTTGTAAAAATACAATATATGAATTATAAATTTACATCAAAATAGAAATTAACCAAAATGGTGTCTCAACTTCAGTCCAGAAGCAAAATGCCTTTAAGGATCTAATGGAGGTACATAGTCCACTACACTATCTGAGACCAAAAATATTTTTTCAGTGAATAACGTCCAATAATAATAATTAAACATAAAAAAATTTAACCAATTATGTAAGTTAAAGAAGCAACGATCTTTATAAAAGTTGAATAAATTTCAAAATAAAACGACTTTATAAAATTTTTAAATAAAATCTCGAACCATTAAATCTCATATTAAATAATGTTATCACTTGATTGCAATGAAGCAATAAACAAAATCAATAATTATAAATAATTTACTAATTAAAATCAATAGGATGTAAAATTATCAAATAATCAAATTCATCTTATAGGAACTTATTAGAACAATTAACAAACGTGAACACACAGTCCACGAGGGCAAATAACTAAACATGGCTCTTGCTACGAAAAACAAACGTGAACACATAGTCCACGAGGGCAAATAATCAAACGCAGCCGAAGCCACAAATCAAACGTGGACACATAGTCCATGAGGGTATGTAATCAAACGCAGTCGAAGCTACGAAACAAACGTGAGTATGATGCTCACGAATAACTATCCCTTCATTTCACATGCGTTGGCCATCGCACGAGGCTAGCACCTCCTATACACACCCTACTAGCTAGGTGTACCATGGCGCGCCAAGGGCTAACGGAACTGCCGTTAGCAATCAGTATTCTATATAAAGTCCTTTTTTAAAACCATTTTCAAACATACGAGAAAAATCATCACTTTCATGATACAGTTTTCATTCTCAAAATCAAACTCGCATGAATACTTTTAAACATTAAAACTTTTCAGAATCAAATTTCAATTTCAGAATCAAATTTCATATCTGATGCTCATGCTTGCCTTTTATTGAATAAAAAAAATTTTCAATGTCGAACTCGCATGAATCTTCTCTGTATCAATCCAATATTTGATAAAATCAAAATCTCATTATCAAAGTTCAAACTTTGACTTGATTGATCAAATAACATTTCAAATTTGTAAAGCTAATTTCTCAAAATAAAGAAATGTTAATCAACAAATATCCAATACCGCCTTAATGCTATTAAAATGATTTTTCAAAAAAACGTAGTATTTAGTAAAGGAAATTTTGATTGAAAAAAATCAGTTGGGACGCTATCCCTTACTTGTAGTATCCTCAAAGGCTCCAAACTCATTTCTTATGACTCTATTTGAGCTTCCCTTCTTCCAAACATCTACAACATATAATATATAATAATATTTTAACAGACTTTATCATTTTTTTAAAACCAACAAGACCCCATTCGAGAGAACCTACTTAACTAAAATTAACAAGAATAATTTTGAATTTTTTAAGAACAAAATTCATTCATAAAATTTTTTTTTTCTCTTAAGCTTTTTACCAAACATTTATATTGCGACATTTCAAACCATTCAATAAAACACGAGACCTTAATTCTATTACCCAACCATTTTCAAGCATTCAAATTTAACTTCCAAAATAATAATTTACTTTATAAACCTTTCAATTTTGTAACTCTCAACAATTCAAAACTAAATAAGACCTCAATAACTTCTTAAATAAAACTCCTTTGCAATGCCTCAAATTAAAACTTTACTAAAATAACATTTGAATCAACTCATCCTTTTGCCTCAATCATTACAACTTTAGAAAAACACACAGTTAACAAAAACTCTCCAAACGGGCATTTAATCAAACAATTTATGGGTATCAATATTTAAGCTCATATTAATCTCTTCTTCATCAATATCACTTCCTTAAAATTTTGATAGCAATGTTATAATGAATTTCAATTAAAATACAAACCCATTCCATCATCTCCTTCTCTTATACGACCACAAATTTCATCTTTAATCAAGCTTTTTCTTTATACACATTAAACCAGTCACGTTCAGCAGCAGCAGCAGAGGAGAAAATTTTGCACCTATTCATCAACTCACACACATGCTCGCACGAAAATAAATATGGAGAAGACTTGAAGTTCTTGTACCAGAAATTTCCGAAAAAGGACAGTGAAAGGGAGAAGAAATTGCACCTTAAGGGAGGGAAAATCTGATGCATCATGCAAACAAAAGAAGAACAAAGCCAGCAAAATCAAATCAAGAATAAAAAGAAGCATCAGTAGCAGCTCCGTCTAGTTTTCGGCTTCCATGAATCAGCTCCCACGCACTAGCAACGACGCAGCCGCGAGTGAAGGAGGCAGATCATCGAACGAGGAAGATGACTAGGCGACAACAAGCACGCTATATCACTAGCTAGAGGATAAGACACACGGAGAGGAAGATGAGATAGGAAGGATATTGCGGATCTGAAGTTCGAAGCTACTGGAATCAAGAAAAAAATTTCCAACTCTCTTCCTCTGGTCTAGAAACGCGTGTGCACTGCCGAAAAAGAGAAGAAAAGAAGAGGAAAGAAAATGGGGAAGACTTGACTGGAGGAAAGCGACAAGAGCTCGCCGGAAAAATCAAAGAGGAACAGAGGGAGCTGGCATCGGTGAAGCTTAAGTCGAAAGATCTTTTGTGAATATTTTACCTTTTGCTTGAATAAAATCTGTAATGACCCACAAATTTAAATTAAATAATTATAACGGTAAAGTAATATATATATATATATATATAAAATAAAAGTGGGTAATTGGATTTTTATCCATATTAAATATAACATTTTACATATGATGGCAACAATGAAGATTTGGGGTCAAGAAGAATTTACGTTGGTTATAACTTATTAGTTTCCAAGATTGTACGAATCATGGCAAAAGTGCAAGTGGCGGGGTTTCACATTATGCAATAATTATTAAATTACCAAATTGCCACTCTTTTCATTTCATTGAACTTGGTTTTTTAGTCATTTAAATTTCCCATCAGATTTTTCCCTCTCTCTTCATATTTCCTTTTTGTGTTGTGGGGCATTTTACAATCGGGATAGGGAGTTCCAGAAGGGGCAAAGCCAGATTCTTTGCTCCTCCTCCCTATTCCTTCGAACCAGCTGGAGATTAAGAGAAGCTTAAAACCCAAAAACTCCTGCCAATCTCTGTCTTCTTTATCCTCCTTTCCTGCTGTTCAGCGCATCGCTGTGAATTTGTCATTGTTGAAGTCAGAGATACGAATTCACCCCTCTCCCCTGCATCGTGTCAGTCTCTCTTCCTCTCTTCTTTGGCGTACGACAACTCTCCAATCTCCTCTCTACTGTTACGTCGCCGGCGTGCTCATGTGCCAGGGAAAGCTTCAATCTTCTCCCTCCTCTTTGTGCACGGTACTGGTTTGTATGAGTGTGAGAACAGAGTTCGCTTCCCTTCTCAATGCCGGATTATTCCTCTTCCTGGTTCGGCATCAGTGGCTCTGCTGGTTAGTGAATCTCACCCTCTCTTCCCTCTTCCATCTGGTTGTGCTTGCTGTAATGGTTGTGGCTGTGAAATTCTTCTTGATTTTGTGCTATCGTTTATGAATATAAAAGGAAACTGACTTAAGTTGAAGTTTTTTTTTTTTAAACAAGAAGAAGATGATGTGTGGGTTTGAGTTTTAGTTGAACTTGATTTGATTATTGATATTGATAAATTTTGTAAGTGAAATTGAGGAGGAAGATGTTGATACAAGTTTAAAGGTTCATGGCCACAAGATATTCGATGAATTGTCTATTAGAAGAGTTTTACTTAATTTTTGATACTTCTATAAAATTTCATTGATTATTGCAAGAAGCACGTTCTATATGGGTGTTATTGATTTATAAACTATATCTTCTTGAAGGTTGCAAAGAAAATTTAAATATGAAATTAGCTTGTAACTATGTGAATTCTTGAAATGAATGGATGTTGATAATTATGTGATAAGAGTTTAAATGTTACAACGTTCTTTTGAGTGGATTGGGAAATTAGTTATGTCTATGAAGAAACTTTTGTAAATCTTGGTTCTAAATTTTTAAATTTATAGTCATTATATATATATATATATATAGAGATAGAGAGAGAGAGAGAGAGGATGTGTTATGGTTAGAAGAGAGTTTTTGAGCATTGTTAGAAGTTTATTAAGACCTTAATATATTTTATAGGAAGCTTGGAAGGAGAGGAAATTGATTAATGTGGTAAGAGGAGGACCTTATATTTTGAGAATGGCATTCTAGTTATTTTAATAATAATAGTTTTTATTGAAAGATTTCATCTTTGTCTTTATGAAGGTCATTTCTAATTATTATGATAAATTGGTTATATTATTAATTAAATTATTTTATCATGTGAAATATAAGATTACTACAACGAAATAAATATGATGTGGAAAGTACATGTAATTTTTTTTCTCTAAGATTCTTTTTTCAAAATTTATGAAATTATTTTGATTAGCTTTGGAAAATTTTGATTGTCCAATAAATGTAATAATGAACATTATTTACTAGATTTTATTTTGACAAGTATTAAATTAATACTTACAATAATCCATGCGAGCTTGGCATTGAAAGTGAAAATTTTATTTCAGCAATGATTGTTTTTCTTGCATGTTTAAAACGTGATTTTAAGAGGATTGTAAGTAAAACACTGTTCCTAAAGGCAGTTTTGTTAGCCTGTAGCTCGCTATGGTTGATAACTAGCTAATTTGATTTTTGTGAGCTTTGTTCTCACGTTTGATATTTGTAAGTTTTACACCTGCATTTGTTTTCATGGCTTATAGCCGCGTTTGGCTACTTACCCTTGTGCACTGTGTATCCACGTTTGTTTTCATGACATGAGTCATGTTTGGTTATTTTACCTTTGTGAATTATGTGTTGACATTTGTTACTTGTTTTGTTAAGTTCTCAAAAATTTTGAAGTTTTTGACTAACTGGTGTGTTTGAAATTTCAATGATTTCAGTTAGTAAGTGTACTACTTTGATTCACATATGGATAATTTATTTTCTTCAAGCATGATAGAATAAAGCAATTTTCAGTTCAATCTCATTTTATGGTCATGATTAAGATTTATAGATTTATTAAGTTTATTATATTGAATTATATCTTTTCAGTTATCTTACATAATTATTTTATATA